TCCCATTTGGAATGGGTGTCTATACCCAATGCCTGTACCCCCATTGTATCTAGTAAGTAATAACTGACTTTCAATTTTACATGTTCATAGGCAGAAGAGACTTGCCTTATTTCAGATGAGACTTTGGACTTGGACTTTTAGGTTAATGCTGGATTAAGACTTTGGGGGACTATTGGAAAAGCATAATTATGTTTCAAAATGTGAGAACATGAGATAAGGGAGGGACCAGGGCAGGACGATATGGTTTGGCTCTGTGTTCCTACCCAAATCTAATGTTGAATTGTAATAATCCCCATGTGTCATGGGAGGGAACATGTGGAGGTAATTGGATCATGAGGGCAGTTTCCTCCATGATGTTCTCATGATACTGAGTGAGTTCTCACAAGACCTGATGGTTTTTTAAGTGTCTTGTGTTTCCCCTGCTTGGACTCACTCCATCCTGTCGCCCTGTGAAGAAGGTGCCTGCTTCTCTTTTGCTTCCGCAATGATTGTAAGTTTCCTGAGGCTTCTCCAGTAATGCAGAACTGTGAGTCAATTAAACCTTTTTCCCTTTTTTTTTTTTGAGGCGGAGTCTCGCTCTGTCGCCCAGGCTGGAGTGCAGTGGCGCGATCTCGGCTCACTGCAAGCTCTGCCTCCAGGGTTTACCCCATTCTCCTGCCTCAGCCTCCCGAGTAGCTGGGACTACAGGCGGCCGCCACCTCGCCCAACTAATTTTTTGTGTTTTTTAGTAGAGACGGGATTTCACCGTGTTAGCCAGGATGGTCTTGAACTCCTGAACTCATTATCCACCCACCCTGGCCTCCCAAAGTGCTGGGATTACAGGCTTGAGCCACTGCGCCCAGCCCTTTTTCCTTTATAAATTATCTAGTCTCACACAGTTCTTACAGCAGAGTGAGAACTTGTTAATATAATCCCCATTAATGGTGGAACACATAAGAAAATGTGGTGTGTATACACCATGGAATACTACACAGCTATAAAGAAAAGGAAATCATATATTCTGCAGCAACATGGATGCAGCTGGAGGCCATTATCCTAAGCAAATTAATTTAGGAGCAGAAAACCAAATACCGTATGTTCTCACTTACACATGGAAGGTAAACCTTGAGTATACTTGGACACAAAGATGAGAGCAATAGAAACCAGGGCATAATTGAGGATGAAGGGTGGTAGGAGGGTACAAGTCAAAAAACTGCCTTTCAGGTAATATGCTCACTACCTGGGTGACGAAATCATTTCTACACAAAACACCAGTGACACATAAATAAGCAACAAATCTGCACATGTACCCACTGGATCTAAAAGCTAAAAATAATAAATAAATAAATAAATAAATAAATAAATAAATAAATAAAGACATTATTGGCATTTTAGGACTTATGTCTACCTCATTATCTGTTTGTTCTTTCTGTATCTCATTTCTTTTCTTTTTCTTTCTTTCCCTTGTTATACCTAAACATTTTGGAAATAATTTTTACTTATTTCTAGTATTTTTGAATATATTTTTGCATAGTTTTCTTAGTGAGTGCTTTAGGTATTGCCATAAATATACATAAGTCATCACAGTCTAATGGTGTCAACATTTTCTCACTTTAAGTGAAGTGTAGATATCTTACTTCCATTTAGGCCCCTTTACTCTCTCCGTATTTTCAACATAGTGGTCCCGAGTGATCCTGTACATAAACTGAACACCGCATCAGATAATGTAACTTTTGCCTCAACTGTAAAATGTGACTTAAGAAATTCATTAGGTGAGTGATTAGCTATTATATTTACTTCTATTTTTACCCATTCTCTTTTTCTTTTTCCTTTCTAAAGTTTTCATCTTTCTAGTGTCATTTTCTTTCTGTTTGGAGAACTTCCCTTAGCTATTCCATAAGATAGGTCTACTAGCAATTGATTCTCTTAGTTTTCCTTTTTCTGAGAATGTCTTTTTCCCCTTCTTGACTGAGAACAGTTTTACTGGATATAGGATTAGGAATTGACAATATATTACTTGCTGTACTTGAAAAACTATTGTGCTATTTCCTTTTGGCCTTCATGGTTTTAGATTAGAAACTTGTCATTTGAATTGGTGATCTTTATTATGCAATGTGCTGTATATCTGGCTTTTTTCTAAGAGTTTTATTCATCTTTAATTTTTAGAAGTATTTTTATAATGTTTCTTGACATCTTTTTTTTTTTTTTCCCCTTTTTGGAGTTCACACAACTTCTTAGATATATTGATTTGTTTATTTCAACACTTATGGGAAGTTTTTGGTCACCAACTCTCCAAATACTGTTTCAGTTCCTTACTCTTCCACCTATAAATGTGTAACTCTAAATATACAAATGTTAGGCCTCTTGTTATTGTCCCACAGATTCCGAAGGTTCTCGTTATTGTCTTTATTCTATTTTCTCTGTGTTGTTAACATTGAATAAATTCTATCGATATGCCTTTATGCTCGCTGATTCTGTCCTCTAACATTGCCATTACACTATTCGGTCCATCTAGTGATTTATTTATTTATTTCAGTTATTATATATTGCAGATCTATACTTCCCACATATTTAACTTTACAAATGTAACTCAAATTTCCTTTCTATTTTTTCACTTGTTTTAATTTTTTTTTCAATTTTTAACTTTTGTGGGTACACTGTATGCATATATATTTGTGTGAATAGGAGCCCCATAACTCAGACTGGTACCTTATCCTACTGTGGCTGAGCTGGTATCTAAGATGTAAGATAAAGTCCTCTTTGCTCTTCCCTCTCCTCTGCTCAAGTGGAAAGAAGGGATCTCTTTTGAATCCACCAACTGTGCAGCCTGGAGTTTGGGGAAGGGTGGTACAAGCATTCCCTTAGTCTTGTATATCGCAGTACAACTTGTAACCCTCAAGTCCACTGGTTCTGAGGCCATCTCAGCACTGGAACATGCCTAGAAGCATGTGGTCTAGACTGTCTTTCAAGTTTATTTACAGGTGCAGAGCACTTTAGCCTGTGCGGTGAGGCTTGCTGGAACTCATATTTCTACCACTGGAATGTGTGATTCCCTCTAGATAGGATTGGTCTATATGCTTCCTTCATGGAAGGCTGCCAGCTGAGTTCAATCTGGTTTTGCTTTCCACTGTGACAGGGCAGCACTGAGTTCAATGCAATGTCTCATAATTACTGTGCTCTCCCTCTCCCAAGTGCACAGATTCTCGCCATGCCACACAGCTGCTACTCAGGGTTGGGGGAGGCGTGGCAATGGCAATTCTAAGACTGTCTTTCCTGTCATCTTTGATGGCTGTTTTAGTGAAATGAAGTTAAAACTAGGTACTGTGAGTGCTCACCTGATTTTTGTTTCTTATGAAGGTACTTTCTCTGTGTAGGTAGTTGGCAAATTTGATATTCCTTTTGAGGGGTGGGGGATGATTGGTAGAGCCTTCTATTCAGCCATCTTGGTCCACCCTCCAAGACAATTTTTAATGGAATGTTGAAGCTCTTTTATGACAGCTCCTTTAAATCTTTGTCAGACAATTTAACATTTGATTCATCTCCGTTTTGTTTTTCTTGCTTATTTGATTTCTGGGGCTGCTGGACATACTGTACCATCCCTGCTGATGCCACGTAAAAGGGGTATAAGGTACTTTCCTGGACTTCCTGCTCTTGTTGGCTGACCATTTGAAAGTAGGAGAGAAGCCTTGGGGGCTGGGAGAAACAGGGCTTCTCTGATGTTATCACTGTGAATGGGTGGGACTGCCCATGAAGCCCCATTTGTATCACAGGAGTTTGAATGGCCCAGTGCTTCATTGCCACTACTGGCAGTGAGTTAGTTCACCTACAGGGACCCCGAGTGTGGAGCAGAGTTTGGGATTCTCCACTATGTCTCTGTTGGGCTTCCTCTTTCCTAATCCTTTGACCAGGGAGAGCAGGTTTTTCTAGATTTTGTTTGTTTGTTCCAGGTCACAGTCCTTTTTGCTGCCCAGTTCAAGAGTATACAGGAGATAAAAAGGACACCTAGGAGGAACTCACCACATTGGCATTACTCAGCTCTTTATCCAGTATGCCTTTAGAGTTCTTGTATCATTGTAGGTTGAATAATTTCCAGGGCTTTAGTGATATTAAGAATAGAGAAGGCCAGGCGCGGTGGCTCACGCCTGTAATCCCAGCACTTTGGGAGGCCGAGGCGGGTGGATCACGATCTCAGATCATTGAGACCTTCCTAGCTAACACGGTGAAACTCCGTCTCTACTGAAAATACAAAAAATTAGCCGGGCGTCGTGGCAGGTGCCTGTAGTTCCGGAGGCTGAAGCAGGAGAATGGCCTGAACCAGCGAGGCACAGTTTGCAACAATGAGCCGAGAGATCGCACCACTGCACTCCAGCCTGGGCGACAGAGTGAGGCTCTGTCTCAAAACAAAAACAAAAACAAAAACAAACAAACAAACAAACAAACAAACAAAAGAGTAGAGAAGTAGCGAAGCAGAAAATGGTGTGTCTATACCTTCTAGTTTCTGAACTGGATGCCCCCAAACTTATTTTAATGTCTTTTACTATCTTTACCTTCTTTTCCTTTCTATATATTTTTATCAGCACCTAATATTTCTCTGGGTATTTAACTGGTAGAAATGAAAAGTGAAAACTTTTTTTTTTCCCCCACTATTTTGTTATTTTCAATTTGCTGGTATTCTCTCTACTCACAGTGTCATTTTCTTGATAATGTGTGTTCTAGAACCTTGCAGTTCTTCCAGAAGACGCAGTAGTCTATTTGTGCTTCACCGTGTCAAGTGGCCAGAAACTGAAATCTTTGTTTCAAAACCTCTATAGCTCAATGTTTCTAATCTCAAAAATTCATTGCTGTATTGAAAATCACTTGAATTGATTCTGTATTTTAGCTGCTAATAGAAGGGCCTTCCGGGCCCACGATTTCCAGTTGAAAAAGTACTGTGCTATTTTACATGCTTATAGGTTAATTTTTTCCTAAATAAAATGTCTTTTGTTTTATTTTTTTCTCCTACCCCCCGCCCCCCACTGCAGATGATTTATCTGGCTCGTAATGCCAAGGATGTTTCAGTCTCATATTACCATTTCGACTTAATGAATAATTTACAACCTTTTCCTGGTACCTGGGAAGAATATCTGGAGAAATTCATAACCGGAAAAGGTACATGGACTTTATCTCAAAATTAATAAGTATTATTTTATTTTAATAATACTATTAACAATAACTGTTATGACTTTCAAAATATTTATTTTTCCAACCCAGTGAAAAGTATGTTCAAATATTATCTAAAAAATTAAATCTAATGCATTTAATATTTTACCACGACATTCAATTTATAAAACTAGTATTAATCATTGGCATACGAAAGTATTCTATAATCTGTTCTCAGTTGCTAGAAATCCATTCTCAGTCCCTGCTCGCAATAGACATTTTTTAACTTGCTTAAGCAATTAGTTAGATCTGTTAATGCGTATGTTATATATTTATAATACTTAGGTAAATAGTTGATATGAGTACTTTGTAAGATAATGGTTTTCCTCTTTATGAGACTAAGCATAACTTTTTGGAGGTCAGAGTATTTTTGTCTGAAATGCTTTCTTTGTACTTGACATTAAAAAATATCTGATGTTTATATATCCATAACTAGCTAATTTTACTTTTTAAAATTGGCCTCATATTCTCAGTTCCTTTGGTTACTAAATTCCACAAAATATTTTCACAATTTGATTTACTGTTCAGACAGAAATATTTAATTTGATGAATGTTTATGAAAATAGACTTTTATCTGGTTTTAGTGGCCTATGGTTCCTGGTTTACTCATGTTAAAAACTGGTGGAAAAAAAAGGAAGAACACCCAATACTTTTCTTGTACTATGAAGATATGAAAGAGGTAAAATAATAGATATGGATTCTGGATAATTTCCCTACTGAATCATGGTGTAAAAGGATTGATTTTTGCTTTTCAACTTAGTCTATGGAGTCCAAAATGCTGATTGCTTTGCCTATTCACAATGTGTTTTTACCCAAATCTTGCTATAATTAATGACTTTCTAATTGTTAAATCAATTATTTATTTTTGTTTGTGTTATCTCTTAGCCACTGCATTGTAAGTGACCACTCTTTCTTCTGCAATTATTTCTACATTTACCAGGATATTACATGCTTATGGTTATCCTCTAGATATCTACTCATTAATATTTTAAAATTCTTTTTTAATATTGTTTGCTATATTTGAGTTACCCCTTTCACATTTACTGTTTTTACAGCTATTTATGTGCTAATCATCCATTATCTGTGCCTCCATTTTTACTTCTACCTCGATTTTCTAGCCCATGCTTGTATTAAATTTAACATACTCAAAATTAAACTTATTTTCTTTCTCTCCAACATGTAATCTTTTTTCTATTTTGTTTTCTCTCAACAATAAAAGTTATTCTTATTCTGTTTTCTATATTTCGCACATTCAGTTGGTTCAGATAGTGTATCTACTGTATCTTTCAAAGTATTCCCTCCTTTACTTCCTCACTACCTCACTCAGTGTAGAAACTTGTAATCATCTATCTAGTATGAAGTAGTATTAATTAAATACAACTACAAATTTTCGTACCACCATTATGGAACTCTTCTACTTAAATTGGCCAAATACACACAGAGACACACACATCAGGAAAACATGTTGAAATTAATTCCTTTACTTATAAAAGCCTGAACATACAAATTAGAATACTTTCAGATCTACAATGAAAATTACAAAGTTTGTCTTCTTTGTAACTACATCCCAGTACTTAGTACAGTGCCTACCACATAAACAGGGGCTCAAGGTTACTTGCATGGATCATTGATTGCTTCAATAAATAAATGAGAGGTAATATCCAAAACTTTAATGGCATTAATCCTACTTTGCATAACACAGAAATTTGACTCCATGTGAACTATTCCTTGCTTTAGTTAGTTTTGAGAAACTCCCAGGGGTTTCTTGTATCTTAGCACAAAGAATCCTCTGAGTTTTTATTCACTGCCCAAGTTTTCGTTCTACATCACAGTTGTCCACATCCCATAAAGAATCTGTGATCTATGTCTTATCATTGTCCCTTTATACAGGGTTTGAGATTATTAATGTTAATTTACTCACACCATACAGCTGCAAAACCTTGCATGGCTTATGAAACTACTGTAACAAAGTCATACGTCTCTTGAGAGCTTGTTTAGCCAGGGATAAGTTATAAATTCTTCATAAGAGAGAAAATTATTCCAGCTCTCTAACAAATATCTCTCTTCATGTTTTGGACAGCAGAGCAGCACTTAAGAGCTTTATAAAAAGAACAATTTTAGCTTCTGGCAATAGTTCCTTTTCTCCATAAGACTAAGAAATACATTTTCTCTGTTTGGCTGTTATTCAAATTCCAAATCAACCATTACACTGTTTCCCACATAATATTTGAGACCATTTCTGTCTTTATTTAGCTAAAATGTTTTGTTTAAATAAACTTACTCATTTTGATTTATAGTCTAACCCGGTTACCTTTTTAAGCATATCCATATATTTTCAGTTTCCTTCAAACTTGCAACATACATTGCATTAACAGACAATATTTTTCTTCTGCCATACAATCATTTGTAGATAATGTTATAGAGAAGTTTAATACAACAACAATAATGGAAGAAAATTATACAATATACATCAATAATAAAATTTGAAAAAAAAATCCAGTAATTTACAACATGTTTATAAGTATCTACATAAATTCCTAATAAGTGAGATAAAAGAGTAACAGATCAGGGGAAGATTCAGACCAGAGCCAGGTCTCTTTAACTTCCATTGGTCTATAGACTAACACAGAGGTTCCCAGCCTTTTTGGCACCAGGGACCGGGTTTGTGGAAGACAATTTTTCCATGAACAGGGTGCAAGGGGGCTGTAGATGGATGGTTTCCAGATGAAACTGTTTCATCAGATCATCGGGCATTAGATTCTCATAAGGAGTGTGCAACCTAGATCCCTCACATACTCAATTCACAATAAGGTTCATTCTCCTGTGAGAATCTAATGGCACCACTGATCTAACAGGAGGCGGAGCTCAGGCAGTAGTGCTTGTTCCTCCACCACTCACATCTTCCTGTGTGGCCTAGTTCCTAACAGGCCACTGATTGGTACTGGTCTGCGGCCAGTGGATTGGGGACCCCTGGACTAATATCATCATTCATATTTTAGGATTAGCCAAATTATTCTCCAAATATTTTTGACCCCAAAAAGAAAATGTTCTCTATTTGCCTGTCCATCTACGTGTTTTCCTAGCACAACTACTATCTTTTCTTTTGGGCTTATATCTACTATCATCACGTCTGCTCTTTTACTCATTCTAACCACTGACACACCTTAAGTTCTGATCTCATTCTTCTGTCAGAGAGGACTGACATAGAAAATAAAATAGATATTCTGATTTTTAATATTTTATGATTAGTTTATTTAAAAATTGAGAAAAATAAACCCAAACAAATATGGATTTCCTATACTATTCAGAGTTAACATTTAGAAAAACAGATTATAAATGTTTTGTAAGTATTCACATTGTGTGAGTTACTTGTTTATTGTCTTGGGTTTTACCCACTAATAGAATCCAAAGGAGGAAATCAAGAAGATCATTAGATTTCTAGAGAAGAACCTGAATGATGAGATCTTGGATAGGATCATCAATCACACCTCATTCAAAGTGATGAAGGACAATCCTTTGGTAAATTATACACATCTACCAACTACAGTGATGGATCATAGCAAATCCCCTTTTATGCGTAAAGGTAAATACTTTGCTGGGTTTAATTTCCCTTTTGTACTTTCTCATGAATTACCATGAGCTAAGGATTAGTTCTGTGATCTCTACTAAGTTGCTTAGCCTGTTTAAGCTTCACAGTAAATACATACCACCAAAAGTTGCTGAGATTCAAAATTGTTAAATGAAACAATGCATTTAAATCTATTACTAGAATACCTTGAATATTTGATAAATGTTTATTCTCCTATTTACTACTGTGCTAAATGAGAGTGCTTTTGGCAATTCTGATGTGAGCAATTCCAAATTTGTCCTTCTTACTCCCTTAAATCTTTAAGATGGCATAGATAAGCTTCCTTCCACTCCTCAGTGAAATGCTAATTTCACTTAGTACGGTACCATAGTCTTTAAAGTCCCTATATCACTTAGAAAACCATGGTAATCGCATTAAAATTAATTCACCAAAAGGAGAAACTGTTATGTGACCTTATAAGAAGTTTTAGCCCTCTACAAATACTGTTTAAACTATTAGTAACATAGAGTCCAAATTTAACTTAGAAGAATATGGCATTTACTGTTGAAATACATTACTTCCATTTAAGTAGTCTGTTTATTGTGGTTCATTATACATAATATATGTAAAAATGTGTTAATAATAACAATACATTTAACAAATTATAAACTTAAATAACTTTGAGAAGTTATCCACCTAATAATGCCACGATCGGTTTTCAATATCCTTGATTGAATTGGAGGGAGAAGGGTAGAATTTCAATTTATATGTAGGAAGTAAGCATAACCTTAGGAATGTATTATGCATATGAACATATGAAACAAAACCACTGATTTTGAGTAATATGACAGATATTTTTTGAAAAGTTGTTTGTTAACTTATTAAGGTAGCAAATAGTCCTAGTGTTTTCAAATTATGCTCTTTCTTTTCTAAAAACAATACATTTAACCTATTAAAAATAACTTACAGAGTATGAAAGCAGGTATATTTTTCATCAAAAATTGTATGCATTATAGGTTTGAGCAAAAAAGACGGATGTATACATATCTCATCTGTATGCTTACACACAGATGTAAATGTATGTGTATGTATAGTCATCTCTTGTTATTGTGGGGGATTGGTTCCAGGAACTCTGCCTCTGAATATACTAGAACCTGCCTATATGAAAAGTTGGCACTCCAAACATGTGTGTGGGTTTCTCATCATGCAAAAACTGTATTTTTTATTGCTTTTAATTGAAAAAAAAACTGCATATGAGTGAACCTGGCCAGTGCAAGTCTGTATTGTTCAAGAGTCAATTGTGTACATGTACATATATATTCTTTTTCCTGGTAGAAGAATCAGAAAATAAATCCTTATTAAACATGGTAAATTCTCATTGTGATAGATACCTGAATATAATTTCCCAGAAATTTTATCTCAAATCATATGAAAATTGATGCCATTTCATGACATTTAATTATGGTGTAGACATAAAGAAGACAAGCTCAGTATCTGGATTCTATGGCTTCTCCAACCTCAACAGAAAAAATGCACGTGTTGTTCTAATATTGAAGGCAGTCTTTATATCCCCTCTCTAGGGGGTTAAGAACATACTTTTGTGGTCAGATTGATCTGAGGTATATCCAGGCTATGCCATTCCCTGAACCTATTACCCTGAATACATTAATTAACCTGCCAAAGCTCTGATTACATCACTGGCAAAATAGATAATATAATAACACCAGTGGCACAAGTTTCTGGGGAGGATTATGGTAAATGATATGCAAGTATTTAGGATATTTTCTCACAATAAATAATGCATATAGAAGTAAAAAGTATTATTAGTCTAAAAAGTTTGATATTTCCTTCTTCCTTCCTTCCTTCTTTCCTTCCTTCCCTGATGTATCCAGTAAACATTTAGAGTACTCATTCATCCATTCATTCATTCATTAATAAGAAAAACTTCTTCATGAATACCTATATACAGCACATATTCTTTGAAAGATTCAAAGGTAAATGATACATATCTTTGACTCAAGAAGCTCACTATGTAATGCAAGGGGCATGTACATAAATGAATGCTGAAAGAAGTGAAGTATGAACAAATGTGCCAGGTACACTGAATTTTGAAAGATGCCATATTAGATAAATCAATATTATTATTATGAGGGTGGGATAGATTATGTCCAATGTTTATTCATATGTCCTAAATTATAACAAACAGAAAAACCTGGCCTTTGACCAGCATTTATCAAGTTTTTTTGTAAAGCAAATGTGTTTGTGTATATTATAAAATTTATATGCAGATCAGATCATTGGAATGATTTATGTATAACTTTTAATTGCTTAAATCTGTGTTCTCTTCTGTTTTTAATGACATCCTTATGGATGCATTAACCCCACTATGTTTACGTTGAACCCTTATTCAACCCTATGTTGAATTCCAGAGCTATTGACATCTGGTGAACATAGAACAAAATGTAACAACTAGGGAAACAACCATATCTATAAGAATGTTTTTCTTTTAAAAGACTTGGAAGTTTTATCAAACCACTGTGGATTAATATAACTTGTAATTTAATATGATGTGTTACTATTTCATAAAATATTAAGATATTTTTCTCTAAAAATATTGGCAGTACATTAAAAGTTTGTTCATTTTCCAAATACGCATTTATATATACCCAAGTATGAGAGATTAAATTTAAATTTTTATCCTAAAAGATTTACTTTAAAAACATGGTTCCAGGATGTTGTATATTTGATATTAATGTTATTGTTCCCACCTAAATTACAAATAAAGAACAAGCCTAATGAATTTAGGAAAAACAACTATCATCTCCATATCATAGCATCCTTGTTTATAAATTCCAGGAAGTGATACTTATCAACTTTTTATTTCGCAGTTTTGTTGTGCTGATGGCTAATTTTTTGTCTAGTTTCCAAAAGTTACTTTATGAAATAAAATATGCCCTGACTATTGATCTAAGTGCTCAGTGATAACCTCATGACCCACGGCCAATAGAAACAGTGAAATTATCACTCTCAGGAAACTATTGTAAAGCCCAGGAATTTAAACAAGAAAATTAGTCTTTTTCAGAATGCCTCTTCAAATGTCAGACTCTATTTAGTTATAAGCCACCTTTCCAGATGGAAAAAAATTATTGAATATTTAAAAGGCTTAAAAATTTAAAGCTTAATACAATTTAAGGGCTGTTTTAATTCATTCAAATAAAATGAAAGTCGTTCTTTAGTCTTTCTAACCTTTTCCTTTGGTATATACTGCTTTTTCTTCTTACAGAAATATTTTATTCTTTCCTATGTTTTTTTTTTTTATTTATTTTTAGGGATGGCTGGTGACTGGAAGAATTACTTCACAGTGGCCCAAAATGAGAAATTTGATGCAATTTATAAGACAGAAATGTCTGGAACTGCACTTCAATTCCGCTCAGAGATTTCACGTGTCTAAATCACAGATCTGAAGAAATAAGAGATTTTCTGTAGTTGAATGAAACGAGGGCAGTTATGAATTGATTTGGGCACTCAAATGAATTTATGAAGGAGAATAATATGCTTTTAATATGTTGATTCTTTTCAATGTCATTAATCAGATTCCAATTTTGTTCCTTTGATTCTGAGGTTCCAAATTCTCTAAGGCTAAAGTTCATTGTTAACTTTTTGTAACAAAGGAACAGTGTAACCACAGGCTCTTCCTGCCTTTTTCTACACTAGAACTAATAAGAAAGAAGGGATTTATTTTACTTAGTCTCCCATATATTATGATTTAGAATTAAGTTCCCCTCCCTAGTCCCATGGTCCAAGAAATGCTGTTTTCATAATGAGACTGTATTTCTTAACTCTGCCCCAATTTCCCTTTGCTGAAAATTTGACCCAGGACACTGTGTTCCACTGCTGTCTACCGAGTTTCAAGTTGTTCTCTGAGTCATAGCTCATCTTCCTGCAGTGCCTCTATTTGGATAACATAGTTCATGTCCCCGATCGTGTAGTTCAGATTTTGGAAATGTTTTTTCTATATCATGCCTAATGTCTAAGTCTCCCAAAGGCAAACACCTACAATAGTCTCTGTAGGGTTCTTTCCTGGGAACTGGAGCTTTGTTCTGAAAACCAACCCTGAGGGCTGTGACCTGCTTCCTATGGGGAGTCCTTTTTTTCCCAACAGACCCGTTTGAACTTCAGAGAAATCACCTACTGCTGTGTTCTGGTCACCATTTGGGAACTTCAGTTACTTAATCTTATGTTTGAAAAGATGTGGATACTTTAATAGCACCTTTAATACCCTAGACATAATCATAACCTCTGCAGAATATTTCACAGTCTGGTGCCCAAGGAGGACTCTCTAGGCTGAATTTCCACTCTGCCCTCCTGACCCAATGTTCCTTCTACTTATTATTACGTGCTTATGTCTATTTGTTTGGTCTCTGATCTATGTTTTTTTTGACATTTGTTCATCAACTCCAGCTTTGCATTAGAAGTAGTTGTTTACATATCCATTTGCAACAAAGTGTTTTTCCTGAGATCAGATCACAAGTGCCACGTTATATGCCAAGCCATGGTTCTCAAGCTGAAGGTAGAGTACCCTGGGCCCTTACTTGTTCTGAAAGGGGTGGGGATGGTGGTTCAGACACATTGCTAGACTTTCTGAGTCACAACTGAGGTAGCTATGGCTTATGGTATTTTGACTTCACAGGTGAATCTCTGCTGTCAGCCAGGAACAGCTAAAATAGCTCCTTAAGCTGTAATGTTTCTCTTTTCCAACCCCAGCAAAGGATTTGTCTAATGTTAACCACAAACCCCATAGAAGTAGTACACCTATTATTCTGGAGAGAGTTGCTTCTATAGATTTATTACAATATGTATTATAAAGTATTTGAGTATATAAGTTGTGTTTGTGTTCCACAGAAACACATTTTATAGTAGTTAATCGTGACTATCTAAAGGTATTGTGAACTAGTTCCAGCTTTCTCCAATACCCTTGTCCACAAGAAGTAAACTAAAATCATGTCTCTATTTCCTCTATTATCTTTATTAAATAATAAGTTAATGTGGCCTGAATATATATGGATTTCTGGTACTATAGTCTATTACTGGGGGGAAAAAACACCACTAAACTATCCTCTAATCTGTGGAATAGATTAGCTACACTTTCTTCACTAGCAAGATAAAATAATTTCCACTTTTTCTAGTTTTACTATGTAGAAATAAGTCTCTGTAATTCGACTTTATTCAACAACAACTTAGTAAGTTGCAATTATGCCTCAGATATGGTTCTATGCACTGAGTGAAGAGTGGAGATAAAAATAAAATTTAGATTTTCTTTTACTTTTTTAATAGGTTGTTGCCTCTTATATATTTATTCTATGATGCAAATGCCACTATCCTAATTCCTGTTTATGTTTAACACCACACAGTGGCACTTCTATGATTCAAATACATTTGATATCCTTTGAAATTATTCAGAGTACTGCACAATTAATTTTTCTAAAACAATGCTTTTATCATTATTTCTCCTAGTGAATCATCAGTACAATTTCCAAATGAAAACACTTAATCTCATATTATTATCTTTCTCTAATAGAACCATGATGTAGGGACAGTGATAACAAATATCTGACAATGATATGATTATTTCCTCATCCATGGAAATTCTCCTTAATCAACTGAAGGGCTATTTTCTAAAAAGCCAAAGCATTGCTTCCAAGAACTTTTCATCGTGACATGGATAGACACTCAGATTCAGACACTCAAAGGAAAGTGTTAAGTATTCCCTTTCACTCCACTCTATTCTATTGTGTTATCTTCCTAAATTATTTTCTATCCACATTCTTCACTCCCTTTCCCATTGACCCTATGTTCTGTGTGATAAAAATTGCATCATTTGTGGCTTTTGAAGGTTAAATATTATGCCCCATTTCACCATTAATAAACATACAACTCTACTCCATATTTTGTAACTCCTTTCATACAGAGAAAAAAAATAGTATAATTTCTTCAAAATGCTTGATATTAATGATATATGGGAAAACAATTATTCGGTGCAGTGATCTTCGGATAACTGGGAAAGGCCAGGGGAAAAGGAGAGATACTGGTGGTGATCAATGGACCCATGTATAAATTGTTTTTATTATATAAGCTGTCTTCACACATGTCTTATTATGTATGATCATTAGAACTGTTTTGTATGTATGTAAAATTTCCATATTATTTAGGCATTACTTTCAGCAGCGAAGTAATCCTTTTTTAGCTGCCACTTAATGAATACAATACAATATAATTTATTGTATTTGGCTATAGTAAACCTATTGATGACTATTTGTGTGCCATTATGACATTTAACTGGCTTATATTTTGAAATCTCATGTGTGTTTTTTGTGGCTATTTTAATTTTCCACCCTCAAAATATAGACGAGTATCTTTGTAGTAGGAAAATCATAAAAATTAACAGCTTCTTCCCTAGTTAATAACCCTGCATATTGTTTTTGTGTATGGAGCAGGGGATAAATCAGGAGGGTATTTGAGGCAACACCGAAGACCAAGCAATACAGAACAAAAGATAAGAGCACAAAATCTGTAATTATAAAGCTATTTTAGAATTAGGTCTTTGCCACTTTCTAGCCATGAAAGCTTGAGCAAATCACAACTTTTCTGTGCTCAATTCCTTATCTGTACAATGTAGACAATGAATATTTCTTGCAAAGATGAAATAATGTATAAAACAATTAGAACAGTGCCTAGCATACTTCAATGTGCTCATTTAATATTAGCTGCCATGAAGGTAATCACTGTGAAAATCTTGAAATTTTATTTATTTAAATGGGATTGAGGCATCGGATTTCTTGTTCCACACTGCTAGCTGGCTTCAAAATGTACAGATATTTTGCAAATTACTGGGAGGCAAGGAGGTTTCTGGCTTCATTACTGTTTCCATTGTTCTTTTGTTGTTTGCTACCAAGTTAAATTTTTCACATGTGTCAAGTACTCCTGCTTAATGCATTACTTTCAAGTACTTAATATTTTCAATGTGTGTCAATGATCATCGTTCAATAGAAAAGCACAACACTGTAAAGATTGGAATAACACTGCAAATGATGTATAGGTTGTAATAATCCAGCTATTGAAACAAATAAAGATGAGTTACCTACTGTGACATAGGTGGATTGAAATTTCTCAGTGGGAATTTTATTACATGGGGAAGCCTATTTTTTAAATTTTAAATTTTTATTTATGTAATTTGTAGAGCAGGTTTTTGTCATGTTGCCCAGGCTGCTCTCAAACTCCTGGCCTCAAGTGATCCTCCAGTCTCGGCCTCCCAAAGCACTGGGATTATAGGCATGAGCCACCGTGCCTAGCCATAAAATCTACATTGTCAAACTTAGCATTTGGGTGTCATGACATTCACGTATATATTCTATCAGTAATGCTTTGTAATCATTTTGGTAGCAACTGGGAAAGGCCATGTCTCAGCATTTTTTAGAAAATGCCAGTGGACACATAGAAAATGATTTTCAAATGTGTTTGAAAATCTTAAATACAAGTTTTCTTGGCCCTATTCAAATCATAAGTTTATTGGTCAGGAATGTGAAAATGGCTAAACCCAAATGGGTTCTATCTCTTACTTTATCATCTTACCTAAGGCTGATCACAGCCTTTTCTCATTAGTTTACAAGAAGAAATAATTTTCTTAATCATTATAGAATATGATAATAGAATTACATATACACAATTGTGTAATTTAATTCAACATTAATATGATATGTAGAATGATATATAATTATTATATTTTATATTTTATTACCATTTTAACTGATAATTTATTAGATATCAGACAATACTATAGAAGCATCAATATATTCCATTTTAAAGCAAGCAAACTGAGACTTAGAACTGGGATTCAAATATAAGTCTGTTTGTCTTCAAAATGTCATTCAACATTACATAATACTTTGTGGAATTATATGTAAATAATCAACTTCAGATATTAGATTACCTCTCAAACATGTCATGGAAATAATTAAGTAATGGTGCCTAAGCTGACAATGCTAAATTTCAAGTTCTGTTGTCGCTTAGAGACCTCATATTGCAAGGACACTGCCTGAGAACTTATGAAAATTAGATTCGTGCATACTTTTTCTCTATAAACTATGTCATAATTGGTGCTTGTTTATAGTCTTAAATAATGATGGCAATACCATAGTTCAAACTCATCTAGGTTAATTTGAGTTTCAAGTGTTGATTTTAAAACTTACTCATTAGAAAGGAATGTCTCTGGTAAAATGCATAGAGTCCTAACAAATGATTAATAAGATAATGCAGTCTATTCATAAGAAGGGCACTAACTGTACCTTGTCCTGTTCTCTTCTATTGAGAGAAAGAGAACAAGATGTCACAAATCTTATGAAAAAGCTTCTCCTGTAACTTTGAATATGGGAAAAAAGGAGAGAGAGCAAACTATTTTCTCACAACTTGCATCCTCTATATCCCCTCCCTCCCCTCCTCTGGAACTATTGGCAAGAGTATCAAAACTGCTGTGCATCTTAGAAGTTTTTGTAATAGCTCTCTC